GTACGTTTAAGGGGGGGGGGGGGGGCAGCTTTGGGCGGTCGAATTCAATTTGGGGGGGTTACAATTTTGGGGATCCTGCCGACGCGCTAGCCCCACTGTAAATACGATGGATACCTCAACGGGAGGGCACTCGCAGCAGGCGGGGCCGAATCCTGCAGCCTTAGTCTTGGCCCGATCCGGCGGCATGCCACGGGTAGGCGCGTTGAGGCTTGCTGCGCCGCGGGTAGACCTCCTCTGCGCCAACGCGGCCTGTGGTGTGCCGCAGCTTGCGTTTGCTGCCAGACAAGAGGAGGAGCAGGGCCTTTTGGCGATAGGACCAGGCAATTGTATTCGCCCGGCGGGCGTTACGTACTCGGAGCTATAATGGACACCAGACACGAACACGACACACATTCTCACACGACATCACCGCTCAGGGCCCCCTTCTCGCGGGGTCCTCGTCTTCCACTCCGGCGGGGGCTCCACTCTCCCCCGGGCTCACCCTCCTGTTCGCTCTCCGATGGTTGTCCGACGGGCGCGGGGCCCGACCTCCCCTCCTAGCCTTTTTTGGCTGTGGCCGGCCCCGCTGCCGTCTCGTCCTCTCTGCCTGATTCCGTTGACCCTGCCGACGGCGATCCCGTGCCCGACTCCCCGGGCGAGGACGGCGGCATTGGATCATGTCGCTTCCCCTCCAAGGGGGTCGGGCCAGCTCTCCTTGGTCGACGAATCGCGCCCGCACCCGCGGCCTTTCTATCGTTCTCGGCTCGCCCCTCCCCTCCGCCGGCTCCTCATCCATCGAGCTCGGGGAGGCGTGGCCCTCCTTGTCGTAGATCACGGTGGTCCGGCTGCCGCCGCGACGGATCTACCCCCGGTGAGCTCGTACGTCCCGACTCCACTCGTAGAGGCCGAGTCAGCTCGACTCTCACCCCCTCCGACAATTGACTCCAGGTCGCACTCGGGGCCCTCCGGTCTTGGCCTTCCGGTTCGCCGACAGACCCGCTGTCGCCTCGCGGTACCTCCCCTCCTTCGCCCCCCCTCGGGTAGCCCAGCCTCCGACGGGGCGGCTCCGGGTTCCCCAAAGTTGTGTGGGTCAGTGACCTCCGCTGAGCGGCCGCCCTCGAGAACACCGAGAGAGGCACAGACTGTGGCACAGCTGTTAGCGTGTCGAAATGCTGCAAGAAGCGTGCACTCGTGCCTCTGCAGCGCAAGTCGCCTCCCACTGGGCCGCCGGCCAAGGCCTCGTCTCGCTGCTACGCTCTCTCGAGGACGCCTTCCCGAACCTGCTCGGCGGCGCACTCGACTCGGAGGCACTCCACTCCCTCCGCGATCCGCCCAAGCACCAGTGAGAGAATTCACATCGCAATTGACGACCCCAACCAAAGCCAATCTCGTTTGACAACCCGGCAGGCAATTCGCTCCCACAACGAACCGGCAAACCGCTGCCACCGAGAGACTGCCCACTGCTGCTGGACTGCAGGTCTCTCGGTGGGAGAATGACTTTGCGGCGCTGAAATCGGAAGAGATCATCCGCGCGTACGTCCGCGCGTCGGGCCTGCTGCAGCCGAGCCGGCAGCGCGGCCGCCCGCTTGCGATCCGCGTGCAAGCCGAGGAGGCGTCTGCTCTTGTAGTTGCGAGTCAGTCAGCCTTTCGCGTGCTCTGTGTAGCACACACCCGGCGCCCTGACCTCCCGAATCCACAGGTGCTCAAGCAGCTGGTGCGCGCTCGCGGAGAGACGGGCCAAAGCACGCCGGCTCTTCGACCAGTGGGGGAACCGTCGCCCAGATGTCCCTTCCCTCTCGTTTCAGGCAGCTGGTACGCCGGCCTCGACTGGTCCCGGGGCGCCGCCGCCGCCGCCGCCGCCGTGCAAGCGCAGAGGGCGCAGGTGGGGGCGCAGGCGGGGATCGGCAAATTCGCCAGATCTCGGGCGATCTCCGATGGTTTCACCCCAGGCGGCGCAGAGGGAGGCGGCGGCGGAGGAGGCGGCGGCGGAGGCCGAGAGGAGGGCGAGGGAGGAGGAGGAGGAGGTGCGTGCGAGCCATCACTCGAGCTCGCCGCGAGATCGCCGAGATCGCCGAGATCGCCGAGATCGCCGAGATCGCCGAGATCGCCGAGAGCTAGAGCGAGGAGGGTTGGCGGAGTGCAAGTGCTTAGACCATGCGCCTGACTGGTGCACGGTTCGGGAGGCGGCCTGATTATAGTCAACTAGTGGAGATTAATTAATTAATCATGTGAGTGGTGCGCGGGGAGGCGGCCTGATTAGTCGGTCATTGTCAATTGTTATTGGTGCACGGGTCGCGGGCAAGGTCAGAGGCCGCCCATTCACAGCTGCCTATTCACACCTGCCTATTCACACCCGCCCATGACCGTGCCAGAGTGTCTGGTTCTCCAGCGTGCCTCCGCGTGTTTGTAGCCTGCTTCCCGTGTTGTAGCCTGGCGTTTGTGCTTCGTCAGTGGCGCGTCCCGTGCCCCCGAGCTCCTTTCATTTTCTGGGTCTCCTAGGCGGCGCGGCGGGCGAGGCGCCGCTCGAGGCCGGCAAAGGGAGCCATGACATGTCCGGGACACGTCCACGACATGTCCGAGACATGCCCCTGCAGGCAGTACGAGGCCGGCGACCCGATGGAGTTACTAGAGAGGCGAGACGAGCTGTGAGCCGCCTCGGCTTGCTTCTGAGGACGCTCCTCGCCCAGGGCTGGTGTACTGCGCTAGGTGCTTGGGGCCGCCCTTGCCGCTGAGAGGGAGAGGCGCCTGCTCGCTCACCGCCAAGGGGCCAGGGTATGCTAGGTGCCGGAGGGGGTGGGGGGGGGGGGGGGGGGTGAGTTCACCACAGCATATCAGTCCTTGTCAGTAGTCGTTGAGATTTGGGACGAGGGAGGGCTGCTTCCTGTTAGTAATGAATTAGTAATCAGTAATCAGTAATCAGTGATAACAATGACGAGGCAGGAGGGCTGCTTCCTGTCAGTAATGAATCAGTAATCAGTAACCAGTAATCAGTGATAACAATAACGAGGTAGGCGGCGGAGGGCTGCTTCCCAGCCGCAGACGGCGGAGGCGGTGGAGGCGGTGAGGCGGGAGGAGGCGGCGGAAGCGGAAGAAGGCCCGGAAGACCACATGTCCCGTGGGGGAGAGATAACCAAGGGATGGGCCGAGAATTGTCCATCTCGAGGCCCTTGCGATGTGGGAAACCCCCCCGCCCCTCCGGC